GAATTCAAAGAGATGGCCACCATAACAGCTAGCAACTTTGCTGCAGTACTGCCTAAGGCAACTTTGAAGGGATCGTGCAAAGTTCAATCATCTCCAGTTCTTGGTAAGATTCTAGATTTGCATGTTTACTATCCTCTTCTAAACAAATCCAAGATTTTAGATGTTTGTATTGCCTTAAATTCAGATATCAGATGAGTTCAGGTATTGGAAATCAAGAAATGAAGTCTTTAAAATAGGATTTTGACATTTCATGCATGTTCTTGCGTGTTCAGGGTGTGATGGCAACAAATGGTAGGGTTAGGTGCACCTTGGAGCAGAAGCCATCTGCAAGCAGCATGAGCTTGAATCCCAGCATGGCTGCGTCACTGATGGCAGCAGCAGCAGCAGCCACGACCACGACTGCAGGACCCGCCATGGCATTGGTGGATGAGAGATTGTCCACAGAAGGAACAGGACTTCCTTTTGGTTTAAGTAACAACCTTCTGGGTTGGATCCTTTTTGGAGTGTTTGGTTTGATTTGGGCATGGTAGTTTATCTATGGTTCTAGTCTTGAAGAGGGTGAGGAGTCAGGATTGTCCCTATGAATGATGGAAGGGGTTCGGTGTGAGTATTGGGATGGAAATGTAGAGAAGAGGAAGGAAAACTTTGGCTCCTAAATTGTGTATGTCTCTTTCAATGTATGTCAGATCAAGTTTTCTTTTTCCTTTCAAATGTTTCTTATGCTCTCTTTTTGTCATATCCACTAAATTATGCCTTAAATTGTGTGAAAGTAACAGGTCTGGACTTGAAAATTCATCATTAGAACTATGATCTAGCACCCGGAGCTCCTATGGAAGGGGCTGTAATGCCACAAATGCCCTGCCAGGTGGTTCTGCACATCAGTTTAGGAATTTCTGCATATCCCTCAATTTAAAATGTGATACCCCATCAATCATGTAGCAAGTGCAAATAGACAAAAACAGATTCCATATCATATAATTCCCAGTGTCAACAAAAAACTGCACTCAATATGTAACATTTTCTCATCAGGAGTTGACCCATTGCTTGCATAAATATTAGATTAAGTGAGGAGAGATTGCAGAGAGACAACAAGCGGGTATTTAATGCAATTATTCAAGCTCCCACAATTAATAATTCTTCTACTCTCAACCAAGAAGCACATTTTCGATTGCTGTGATTGTGCAGAACAGAAAGTGGCAGTTGTCAGTTACAGGGAAGTTGAACTTTGAAAAATAATAAAAAAGAAACGAAAAGAAAACACCTTCCTTGCTGGGATAGGGAAGTTTGTTTTCTACTGCTATGCAGAGTACCTATTGCGCATTGGAGATACCGAGGATCTCTGCAAGAGTAGCTAAAGCAAGTCAATCCAAATAAGTCAATGAGAAACTAACACATCAACCACAAACTTATATTTTACTTAATTTACTCCCTAAATAAAGAATATACTCACACTTGCTGGCATTAGATCTTGAATTGCATAAATAGTATCCATCCCAATGTTCCATCTGTTTCATCTTGAAAACGAAAAATAAACAAGTATGAACCTATTTCACCAGCACAACTCATTCCCATTGGTTACCTCAAGAAGTTGGCTTTGTTTTTACACAAAGTAAAATACACTTATTCCTTAGAAAATCAATATCAACTACCTAGTAATTGCAAACTTTTTCTCTATTTCTTACCTAAAAAACAGAGATTTAGACATCGTCCTTGTTAAATTAAAAAACTTGAAAAACACATTTCTTGTAAGTAAACATCCACTACATATATTATCTATAGAACAAATGAAAAGAAAAGATGTATTGACACAAATTTTAGTCTCTGCAAATTTGCATAGAATACCCAATCATGGCATAACGATAAAATAAAAGAGAAGAAAACTGAAGAAAGAACTATTGCTTGTATGATGGATCCACCATGACTGCCTCCTAGGTACTGACTGAATTGGCCGGGTTGAGGACCAAAAGGTCATTCACATCAGGACTCCATTCTGTAACCTTGATTGCCACTAGGTTTATTTGAAGAAAAACCAATTCTAACTGAACTAAGAAAAAAGAAAATGAACTATTATTTGCATTCTATAAAGCAGAGATACAGGGAAACGAAATAAAAGTTACCTAACCTTCACAAAACCAAGCTTGCTATGCCTTTGCTATGGTGATATTGAGATCTTGAGCTGCATTCAAGACAAGTCATCAAGTGCAAATCAGTAGCAAACAACAAGCATCTAAGCTCTCACTGTCCGCTATAACATTACAACGAAAGGACAAAAGCTGAAATAACAATTTAAAAGTGAATAAATAAATAAACTTCATGAAATCATTTTCACCTACATTTACTAATTGTTTCCCACTCAATAGCTTAGGTAGAAAATATAATTTGTACAAGATAATCTGAGGGGCATGCAATCCTGGAGCATTTGCCTTGTCATAGTGCAAACTACGACCCCAAAAATTGGTAAACTTCATTGCGAAGGCAGTTACTAGAGAATATGTGTCACATTGAAACAGACTCATGAAGAAAAGTTATGCATAATATCAATGCACTTACGAGGCACAACCAGCCCAAATATAGAACAAGCTTGTTTAATTCACATGAAAAGCTTTCTGGAAACTCAGGAAGATTAGAGTTTTCACTTAAGAACTACCAGCATGCATTAACTGCAAAGCCAATCACATAGGCAGGTCATGAAAGTTGACACTAAAACTTGGTTGTAAAATTTGAAATCAATCAATATTGGAAATAACCTCATATGAATCTACCATTGTTTCTGGTATCTGAAATAGTTTAGAGACTATGAAACAATTAGCAGTAGGAATAAAAGAGCCAATTTTTATATTTTCTGCAAATGAGGATTTCTTACCACCACGACCTAGCAACAGAACCAAAACAAATGACAAAACTTATTTATGGCTACATGAATCCATTGCAGCATAGAAAAACTTCTAGAATAGAATTTAATAAACAAAGATTGATGGATAACAAGTCATTTCATGTTGACATTTTGATCATCTTCATAGTTTCCATGAAGCTGCTCAAAAATGGATTGATCTCCTCCATTTCTACACGATAGATCCAGTAGCATTGTTGCTGTTGATGAATCTGCAGAAAATCCTTTATCAACCATCCCATGTAAAATTTTCATTGCCCTTGACACATCATTGTTTTGAAAAAATCCTTTGACCATTGTATTGTAAGAGCATCTATCTTGCAAGCAGCCATTCACTTCCATTTTCCTAAACAATTCATATGCTTTATTTGGTAGCCCTTCTTTACGAAGTCCTTTGATCATGATGGTATAAGCGAAAACATCAGGGTGTAATGCTTTGAGTGGGAGTGCACAAAATAATTTCCTTGCAACATAAGCCATCAATTAAGATACTGTACTGGACTATATTAGCTTCTATCCCAGTGTTCTGCATAATATGTAAAAAGTTCCAATGCCTCATGAACATGACCATGCCTGCATAAGCCATGTAACAAAGTAGAATAAGCAATCGTGTTTGGAACCAGGCCACGAGCACTCATTTCTTTGAAAAGTTCTCGTGGTGTCTAAAGTCTACCTACTTGGCACATGCCATTTATAAGAGCATTGTAAGTAACAGTGTTAGGGACTAATCCATTTTGAGACATTTTCGTGAGAGAGTTCAATGGCTTCATCTATCTTTTTCAATTTACAAAATCCATTGACCAAGATGTTGTAACTACAAACATTAGGTATGCAACCCTTAGTAATCATCAAATTAAGAACCTTTCTAGCCTCCTCCATTCTGCCTTGCAGACAATATCCATCCATCAATGTACTATATGTAATAGTATTGGGATCAACACCGTGTTGAATCATTCCTTCAACAATGTCATGAGCCTCTGAAACCATTCCCTCTTTACAAAGTGCATCCACCGTCATACTATAGAAGACAACATCCGGTTCGCAATTGTTAGCAACCATTTCTGTCAATAATCTTGTAACTTCCTTCCATTGGCTGAAATTACACATCTCCATGAATTAAGGAATTATAACTCACAACATTTGGTGGAATGCCTTTACCTGTCATTTCAGAGAAAAGGTTTAATGCCTCAGTTACAAGCTTGTCCTTACAAAGACGGTCAACGACAGAGCTGTATGTCACAATGTCAGGTAGATAGCCGCTTTGTTCCATTTTCCTCAGTAATCTAATAGCCCCGCTAATGTAGCCAACTTTACAAAGACCATTTATTGTAGTATTATAAGTAATCAAATCAGGTTTGTAACCATTCCTGACAATCTCATCAAACAAGAGCACTGCTTGAGCTAGTTTAACTTCCACACACAACCCATTGGCCAGGGTGCTAAATGTGGTAGTATTAGGTTGAATACCCAGCTTCAACGTTTTTCCCCAAAGCGAAAACCCAAAATCCGACCGATGCAAGTGACAGAAACAATTAAGCAAGATGCTGAAAGTATAAACATCACGTCTGATTCCAAAAGATTCCATTTGTCTGAGCAGAGAAATGGCAGTTTCATAATGCTTCATTCCAACAATGGCACTTACTAATTGAGTAAATTCAACAATAGCAGGGCGGGGACGGGTGCGAAGCATGTGGTTGAACAAACCCAAGGCATCATCAATTTCGTGAAAACGCATACCTGGGTTTCTTGAAACGGGATGAAAAGGTAGAGAAAAATGGGGATTGCAAAGAAGAAAAGAAGAATGGGAGTTACAAGTAGAAGGAGACGCAATTGCAGAAGTGCATTTCCAAGGCCTCATCTCTTCTTCACTGTGAAAATTGAGAAGAAACGGTAAAGGGTGGTGATCAATTAGCTTCACTTTATAGGATCGCTTACTTTTCCTTTATCTGTAAAAGCATCTGACTGTCCCAACTATAAAAAAACGTGTACAACAAATATTCCTATTTGATTTTTTTTGGGGTCTTTTTATTTTTAAAATAAAAATTATATTTTCAGCAAAATAAAATTTCAATGTCTCTAATTTTAGATTCATCGAATATATATTTATTTAATTTTCTTAAAAATAAAATTTCCTATTTTTTAATCAAGTCCAAGTAAATAGGAGATATTTGAAACGAAATTGACATTAATTATGTACAAAAAACACACACACAGAAAATCATGTTCAATCAATAAAAAAATTATGACATTAATCATAGTGATTAAAAATATATTAAAAAAATTATGAATTAAAAAAGTAAATAAAAAAAATTATACTAGTACAAGCATTACCTTTTAACTGAGAGTGCACAAAATAATTTCCTTGCAACATTAAGTTGCCCAACTCGACATAAACCGTCAAATTAATATATTATAGTGAACTATGTTAGCTTCTATCCCACAGTTTAGCACAACGTAAAAAAGTTCCACTGCATCATCCACACGACCATGGTTGCATAAGTAACACTCCATCTCTTCGAAAAAGTTCTCGTGCTGTTGAAAGTCTCCCTACTTGACACATACCATTTATAAGAGCATTGTAAGTAACAGCGTTAGGGACTAATCCATTTTGAGGCATTTCATGAAAGAGTTCCAACGTCCATTGACTAAGATGTTGTAACCATAAACATCAGGTACACAACCCTTAGCAATCATCAAATTGAAAACCTTTCTAGTCTCATCCATTTTGCCTTGCAAACAATATCCATCCATCAATGCATTATATGTAATAGTACCAGAGTCGTCACCTTGTTGAACACTTCTTTCAACGCTGTTATGAGCCTCTGAAACCCTTCCTTCTTTACAAAATGCATCAACCAATATAATATAGGAGACAATGCTTGGTTTGCAATTCTTAGCAACCACCATTTCAGTCAATAATCTCGTAACTTCCTTCCACTGGCCTGAATTACACATAGCATGAATTAAAGAATTATAAGTCACAACATCTTGTGGAATACCTTTACCTGAAAAAGTTTAAAGCCTCAGGCACAAGCTTGTCGTTACAAAGACAGTCGATGATTGTGTTGTATGTCACATTGTCAGCAAGACAGCCACGTTGCTCCATGTTCCTCAGCAATCTAATGGCCCTGCTAGTGTAGCCCACCTTACAAAGACCATTTATCATCGTACAATATGTAATCAAATTAGGTTTGTAACCACTACCGACAATCTCATCAAACAACATCACTGCCTCAGTTATTTTACTTTCACCACACTACCCATTGGCCAAGGTGTAGTATCAGGTTGAATGCCCAGCTTCAACATTTTTCCCAAAATTGAAAATCCCAAAGCCGAACGATGCAAGCGGCAACAACAATTAAGCAAGATGTTGAAAGGATAAACATTACTTCTGATTCCAAGTAATTCCATTTGTCTCAATAGAGAAGTAGCAGTTTCATAATGCTTCATTCTAACCATGGCATCTACTAATTGATTAAATTCCACGATAGAAGAGCGGGGATGGGCATGAAGCATGTGATTGAACAAAGCCAAGGCATCATCAATTTTGTCAAACACACACTTGGATTTCTTGAAACGGGGGAAGAGATAGAGACAAAGAGGAGAAAGACAAAAGGAGAAGAAAGGAATAGAAGTGAGAGATGGGGAGTTGCCAAATCCAAGGAGACGCAATTGCAAAGCAGAGCAAGTGCTATTCCAGGCCATCATCATCCGTATCTATTCTTTACTGTGAAACTTGCGAAGAATTCCGAGCAATCATCTATTCCCAGCAATCAATTAACCAGTATTCACGTTTTCAGTAATCAAATTTTGCAAGATACCCAACGCCACCTAAAATCAGAATTTCCATATTAAAGTTATCTTTTTGAGTAAAATACTTTTTAAATTTTAATCATAATTACAATGGATCCACTAATTTATAAAATAAACATACCACTTTAAACAGTTTAATATTTAAATTAAAATATTTAATTCTTTTTTTGATTGACTGGTGTTTTCTGCTCCCACCAATCACCCCCATAACCGAATCTAACTCTCAGATTGAATTTCTCACCCAGGACTACCAAGATCGGTGCTCCCCAAGGGGCACTAAATCTGTGCTCCCTGGAAACACATGAACAATGCTACCAAGGAGCACAACGTTGGGCGGGTGCTCCCTGGGGAGGTTTCTTTTTTAATAAGAAAAAATAAAAAATAAAAAAATTATAATTTATATAATATGATCATTTTAAAAATTGATAAAAAGTAAAATTATTTTTTAATATTATCACGTTATTAAATTAAAATAAATATTAATAGTAGATTAATAGCTGGACTTAAGTGTTAATATTTTTTTATGACGAACGGACTATTTTAAAAATTAATAAATTTACATTAAATTATAACTAAATGTTAGAAGATGAAGGTATTTTATTTTTTTTTTCATTAAAGCATAAACCAATGTCCAAAGTAAATCTTTATAGGGTATCCATTTAATCATGTTTTTTAAAAATAAGAATTTTGTAGAATTAAATTTTTTAAAAAAATTAATTTCAAAATTTATTCTTTAGAAAAATGTCATTTATTACATTTAACCTTAACTTAGGATTGATTCAAGCATTTTGATTTTAACTTAAGTGGTGATCAATTGGTTTTAATTTTCGGAGCACTTATTTTTTCCTTTCTCTTTTTAATGTAGAAGAATTAATTTTTCCTATTTGATCTTTATCTTTTAAAATAACAAACTTACGTTGAATTATACTTTCAGAAAAAATAAATTTTCTATGATTCTAATTTTAAATTCCTCAAATTTTCTTTCATATAATAATTACACAATGAGAGCTAACATCGACTTTATTATTTTGTGATATGCATATTATTGTTTATTTGTGAAATTCAATTATGGAATAAATATTGAATACATTACATATGAATATCTATTAAACAGATACAAGATAAAAGGTAAATAAAAATGAATTGGACATGTAACAATCAATTAGTGATACAATAACTACAATCATGATTAAAGATTAATTAATGTACAATTTTACTATGATGAAATTTAAGTCAATTATGAATCTATGATACACATTAACACTACCAGGATTCCACCACACAAATTTTCCAATTGGGAAATTGACTATCACCTTGTTAAATTGCAAAAACTTAATTATGATTAATTAGCTCTTAAAAATAATGGTAAGTTTCTTATAATAGTGTCTACTGTCGACGAAGTGAATTATGATGAGGCATGGTCAATTTGCTGATAAACTCCAGGAATCGACTCCGAGAATAACCTGTTTGAAAATAAATCCTTTAAAATGAGATAATTGGATTTTGTAAACTCTTATTTGAAATACACTTTTGATATTTGATTTGGAATTTGAAATACACTTTTGATATTTGGATACAAGAGAACCCAGAGAGAAATTATTGTTCTTCTGGATTGGATTTTTATCCAAGCTAAAAACTCTGCCCTTATAATGGTCTTGAGAGAGTTTATATTTGCTTTCGGCTACTTTTGGCTTTTCTTGGCAGAAAGCATCTTCTTGTGGCAGA